ACATACAGTTACTTGAGTCTTTCTGTTCCTTAAATTTTGGTAAAGTAACATTTTTCCCCATCTTTTTAGAAATACTCAGTATTTCAACACTTGTTAAAAAGGAATACCAGCATACAAAAAGTCTTCCAAGGAAGATCTCTGAATTCCTGAATTTAAACTATTTGTGTCTGATTTAAAGTATTTATTGCTAACAAGAAAAGTTGAATTATTTTTCATTCCTTAAGTAGAATAGAATATTTCAGGGACCTACAATGACCACCTAGTCCAACTGCCTGACCAGTTCAGGGCTGACCAAAAGTTAAATCGTGTTGTTAAGGGCAGTGCCTCTTAAACACTGACAGGCTTGGAAGTAAATAAGGAACGTGTTCGTAGCCTTGGAGAGGGGAGAAGGGAACTGCATTGTCAGCAATAGTTTGATGGTCTCCACTTTGCATCAGCCTCTACTACTAGAACACATTTTATCTGTACTACATTGAAAGCTCTTCTATTCTGAACTCTGATAATTACAAAGATAAGGAAAACAAAAAACAACCTGGGCACAGAAATTAATTCAGGAACTTTTTTTCTGCCTTCGTATCTATATATCTGTAATTATCAGAGCTCAGGATAATGATCATTTAATCCTGGCATGCTGACAACAGCGAAAATAGCAGAAGTGTGACCACACACACCTCCAGTGAATCTTAAGAAATTCTGAAGAATGATAAAAACTTCTTTAGCTCCAAAACCTTCTCCCTTACAGGTCTTTGAGATTCATTGCAAGCAACACAGGAGAATATTCTCCGAAAGCAGCAGCACAAATTTTTATGTCAAACAAAAGACAACTAAATAGAGAGAACTTCTCACTATTTCTGAGCAAATTCCTAAGAGTGTAATAGTACAGATCTATTTTTTAAAAATGTATTATTTTTAAAAGCAACAATTATTTCACTAGAGACTATTCATACCTTAAGAGATCAGATAATGTCATTGGTTCTCTCATCCAGAGTAATGCCATGTAACAAAACGAAAGGGTCATTGGCATTGTCATCCTCAGTTTCTCCTTTTGGTTCTTCATTAAATACAAGCTACCATCTACCGATCCAGAGTGCACAGAGGTGCCTCCTTGGGTTTATGTTAGAAACAGAAAAGAAAAATAGTAAACAACATGATATACACATAAGCCATGGTAAACAGAAAACAAGATAAAGGAACGTACAAGGATCCTTGTTCAGCAACTAGCAACATTTTGAAACCATTACTCTGAGTAGTTCAGTAGTTTGTGTACTTTTCTACTAAACAGCTGAACTCCAATTTATTCATCTACTGTGATATGAGATGACAACCTGTTTCATAAACTGCTTCTTCACTTGGCTAAGACACTGGATCATATGAAGAGACAAAACTCACTCCAGTACCCATCAAAAGAGACCTTTTGTTGGAAACTGCACTTAAACCTGGAGCTCTAGAAGGATATTAGCTCTTATACAACATATAACTAATAGTATTTATGAGCTGGAAATACTATTTTTCATTTGAGAGATACGGGAACAGGGGGAAACTGGAAAATTTTATGTGCTTAAAACAATGCCTTGCAGTGGGGATTAAAACACAGAGTTTTAGACTTCACTGTCAGGACTTTAATGAGAACATGATTTATACTGAAGAATTTTTACTGAGGTTAAGGTATGCAACCATCTGCCATGTAATCTCTAACAGTGTAAACATAAGTATTCTTTTAAAACAACCTTTCTATGTTCAATGAAAAAGAAAATACCTTTAGAACAAAAATATAGCAATTTGTAAAGAAGGTGGGAAAAAAACCCCACCAACTAAACCTTACTTCCTTACTGAGGTGAATCACTGAAAACTAAGAGAAGCAGCAACGAGAAATTTAATTTAGGGGAGTGATTTACAAGTTAGGAACCTTTTCAGCAGTGAAACCCGTGAGTCCAGGGAAGGAGGAAGAGAAAAAGAAAAGCCTCTCTTCCCTACATCATGACACAGCTAGGACGAATGAAAATGTTTTGTATTTAAAGCACAAATACTAGCATCCATTCTGTAGAGATTTTCTCACTGTTTCCCCACAGACTGTTGACCTGTTCGGACGGGAACGGTGAGGGCTGGATCCACAGCTCCCCAGCTGGGAGCTGCAGGGCCATGGCAAGGAGCCTGCAAATCCCAGTTTAAAACTTCAGAGAGCTTGGCAGCTCCATGGTTATGCCGGTAGGTCACAGCCAAGCCTGTGAGGTGACAGCGGTCAGCGGTAGAGGTCCAGCGCCCACTGACACGCAATATGAAGACAGATGCTGCCAAGAGCGTGTTCCTGAGCCAGAACTGTTCTTTGATGCCACCTACCGGCTTCTGAAACGGTGGCCAGCAGCACTAGGGACACAGCAACCGGTCAAAAGAACCGGCTCAAACAGACCCCTCGTACAGACCTCACACATGCCCCTCGTACAGACCAGGACAAGGTCTAGATGACAGCACCCTAGGAGGTCTGTGGTGTATAGGTGCGGAGAACAAAAGCAGGAACACCAGGTAATCCCTTCAGTCAACAGTTTCACCTTTTACATGGATACTTTTGCTCAAAGGCAGCTTCACAACTGAAGCTTCGTTATTAATTTCACATTGAACTCAATTTAAAATAATCCTCATTATATTTGTGGCCTTAATAATGGCACACGATTTCCTTTTATTTCTTCCATCTTATGCAAGGCATGACAACAGACAATTACACACATACAATAATTTAAGCGTTTAATAGGCTTCTCTAGCAATATCTCACTGCTGTACTCAGTGGAATTTGCTATTATCCCTACACAAAAATAACAAAAAAACCCCAAACAACTTGCACATTGGACAAGTCCCTTAGGGAAAAAAAAGGGTGTTCAGGTTTCCAGTCTGCAGCAGTAACAGCTCAGTAAAAATGGCACAGAAAAGGAAACCTATGAATCTTCACAAGAATTTATAATTGACTAGAACACATCTACTATTACTTGTGTTAAATTTCAATACACAAAACAATTCCTATATTTATTTGATTTCACCAAAATGTACTTTCAGTGTCACTGAACTCTTAGGCCATTTCAAGTGCTTCTAGTGAAATTGGTTTGACTACTGAAAGTTGAATTAAATCTCTGAAACAACAGACCAAGTTACCACCTATCTTAAGGCTATCTAGCTGTTCTAAAACTCTAAGCAACATTACCTATAAAAGGCACAGGTTCCAAGGAAGAAAGGAGTTCCTCTAGACGCCAAAAAGGGGAAGAAAATTCAATGGAAGATTTTCACTAGAAATTTTTCACTCAATTCTTTCCCCTTCATGTAATATATATTTGTGTAACACCCAAGATCTGCTACATGCACAAACATACAACGATGCTTTACCTGAAAATTTTGTCATTTTAATATATAAGGATGAAAGGTACTTGCATTATATTCACAAAAAATTTTGTCACCATTTTTGCACCTTTTTCCCCTCTCTGGATTTTTAAAGATTTCTTTTTTTTTTTTTTTTTTAATTGCTGCAGATCAAGTTTCTCATTTTATTACCATCTCTGGACTTTCCAAAAGAAAGAGAAAACAATGAAAGAACAAGATTGCATCCTTCTGAGGGCAGACAGGCAATATCATAGTACTGAAATGGGATATAAAGAGGACAGTACCTAACAGTGAAAAAGAAACACTGAAACAGGCAAAAAAGGCAAGCAAAGAATAAAGCAAAATAGAAAAAACATCATAAGTTTAAAATGCAAGCAAAAGCTTTCAAATGTGCCTTCAAATATATTTCCACTATCAGACATTGCAGCATTGTCTGGTATCACACTTGCTCAGTAGCACCAAACACTGATTTTCTGTAACATTTTAGTTACAGAATGCTAAACATTTTAAGTATTTTCAAGTTGATATTGTGAACAAAAAGTAGAAACTAGAAGCTCAAAGAAGATTTTTTACAGAAGGGGCTATAGGGAAAGTAGTAAAAAGAATGCAGAGACAAAAGATACAGAAGTACCAAATATACTGTAAGGGAAAAAAAAATAGAAAGCTAATTAGATCTGTGGGATAGAAAAAAACACCTCCAAACCATAAAAGAACAAACTCATATTTTTTTAACATCAAAGTCATGATTGACAGCTCTGCCATTAGCTAAACAAGTGCTTATTCGTTAAAGCTACCATGTTTTGTGAACACCTAGCTTTTCAGATATAATAGCAACTTTTTCCCACTCCGAACAGGAGGCATGGAGCAAACTTGTTATAAAATAGAACTTCCTTCTGCATTTCCCATTGTATTTCCAGGTCCTGTTCAATTTTCATCTCTTTGGGAAGGGTCTGGAGGGGAAAGTCTTCTATTTCTGGTAGAATACAAAGTACTCTGCTGGCAAACAGGACTGAAAACTTAACACTTTCCAACCAGTTCCTCCAATTCATTGTACATGAATACACTTTATATATATTTGTTTATGTTTAAAAAATATACAAAAATGGTTTCCAGATACTTCAGTTCATTGCTCCTACCTGAGACCTTGCTAGTTGATGAGGCAAAGCTGCAATCAGTCTGTAGATCCCCCTCACTTTCAGAGAGAGACAAGAATTGAAGAAGGCTACGTCTCTCTGGTTCACTGTCCACATCAGTACTGCTATCACATACCTGTTTTTTTGAAAATAAGACATTGAATTATCTACTGCTAGTTACTGTTTCAGTCTGAAGAAACCAAATAAAGCATGATAGATGCAAGATCTACAATAAATTAAGGCTAAACCCAAACTGTTCACATTTTTACTTTCTCTATGAATCACCAGTATGTAAAGAAACCCTGAGAAAAAGTATTTTTAAATTATTTCTCAAGGTAAAAAGACTTCTCTTTTAATGATTACATTACATTTCAATCTGCTACAATGACCAGAAAGTTGGTAATACATAAAAATCAAAGCCTGATGAAACAAATAACTTCAAGAGAGCAGGCAGGAAATGATGGTAGCTGATTATGCATTTTGTATTGCAATTTCTGCTCTATCTACTGACATAGATTATGGCATTGTCTACTACATAGATAATGCCAAGACAAAGTAATATTTTTAAATAAGCAGTTTTCCATACTCTGAAATGTATTTGTCTCTGGAAACAAGAAAAAAAAACCCCAACAACTAAATGGATACGTGGAAAAATGTTTAGAAGATATCCTTCACACCGAAGAGAAGGTTTCCGTTGTTGCTTTTTAAAAAGATACCAAACATCTCATGGGATTTGAGCTTTTCACTTACTGATAATGCTCTGACAGCTTCCCCAGCTGGTCTGTTGCAATATGCTTGTTTGCTCTTCTGAAGGTAATGCCTCCAAAAATTGCACAGAATTTCATCCTGGTAAATACAAATGGATAGTGATTAGCACAAAGTTTACAAGATAATTAATTGCTGAGAGAACAGAGCGTAATTTCTAACTAAGGAATCTGAAAAATGTTCCAGATCTAATTTTATTAACTGTGATTTATAAACTATGTTTTAAAATTACCAGAGAAACTAAGTTTGTTTTCATATGCTCAATGTTTTTAGACAGGGAGTTATTTGATTCACTTTAAAAATGACAGTCTTTTAAATAACACCTCCTGTAACACACACACAGTGTGTACAACTCACACCGATATCTACATACCTTCATTTGTGGACATACTCCTAACGCTTCTAAAGCTTCAGCTTGTTTCTTGAGTATAAACTGAAAGCCTTCACAAACATACCATTCACAGTCTCTGTCTAAGTAAAAAGAAAAAAAAGTATGCGTTTTTTTTGTTTGCACTGTTTTGTTGGGGTTTTTTTAACCTTATACACACTTAATATTCTGTTTCCACTTAATATTCTGTTCTGTTGGTATCAGGACAGAGAAATGTCTCTCCATTAAATAATTTAAGATCCTAGAGCACAGACCAGCTACACTGAATACTCCATTAACTTCCATTTATTCACAGTGTTAATCAAGAAGAAAAGCTACTGAACAAGCACTTTTCTCCACACATTTCCCAATAACAATATATTTCACTATAATTTCTAGTGTGGCATTTGTAATCGAGTGGAGAGTTGTTAAGGGACCAGTTTTAAAATAACTGAGAACTTGTCATTAAAGAATGAAATACGATCATTTCTTTCCCATCCCCAGTACAGAAAATTGGAACACATTATGGTAGTGAGTCAGGCAAAAACCAACCAATATCACCACATGCTTCACCATTGTCTCCCACAGAATCATACACATTTAAATGAAAGAAACTTTCTCAGCTATTCAGAGCTTCTAGCAAATCTCAGCACAATGTGGATTTCCTAAGGAACTGGCCTCCTCCAATCTATTAATTATTCCCTCAAACTCTGTTACATTTACTTTTCACTCTTACCTCTCTACATTTACAACTCCTTTTCTACAGGCTTTTGGTCTTAGAAATTTTCTCTGCACTTCTCTAACTTCCTTTTCATTCCCCCCAAACCTGTTCTTCACTATTTTTCCTTCCAATCACACCTTGCATCTCACCATCTTAGAAGTTATCTGCCCAAAGCTTCTGCCCTGCTTTAATGATGTTGGCTTTAACTGTTAACCACAGATGCAGCTTACTCCTATGAATGCATGAAAATAAGCTGCCATAGTATAATGCAACTGCACTCACAGAAGGGACTGTATGAAGCTAAGGATTTATTTCTTAAGAAGCCTGGCTAATGAAGAAGATGTATAAAGTCTTTGCTAACAGGAGAAGTAAAAAGCATGGAGTGGTATACAGCTCAGACTTTATGAGCAACACAAGGTAAAGACAAGTGGAGGTGTTGAGGTTGTTCCCCTTGTCACTCCTCCCTGCACTTCCCCACAATTGTTCTTTTCAAAGGAATGCAGTAATCCACTGCCGCCGCAGTAGAGCAAAGATAGGTCAGTGTATCAAAGATAACCAACCCCATGCTTCATTTAGCATTGTAATGCATTTTTGCTTTTGGAAAGTGGCCACAGTAGTAAAACATCTATCCAGCCATCACAGAATACACACATAGCTCCAGCAGCAACCTTACCATTACATCCTTACGCATGTATCATCATATGTAATGACTACTATTCTTCTGAATTATTAAAAGTATAGAAGTGACTCTGGATGAAAGACATAACATTGATTTAGCTATTGCAACTGCACGAAATCTCTTCCATGTAGGTTTGTGTGCAGGTTACAGGGCCAAGTACCTGTAACGCAAGCCAGACTGACATTCTAAGAGCTGGATCACCATCACATCTCACAAAGACAGACAACTTTTCTGGTTTTGTGATAATCATCACAAGGAAGAAACAAAGGGATCACCACATCTGAATGCATGCCACCAGTATCTTCAGTCAGTATTGGCTTCCACAAATCAAAGTGACAATAAGTAACATCTAGTTCTGTTCAATGCAAAAAAACCCCAAACAACCAAACCAGCACCAGGCTCACAGAGGTCACCTGTGGCTCAGGAAGTCACCAAAAGTGACAGTTAAAAGTTCTGACAGCATTTGAGGGGTGTATTTTGTTACTGTTCTTACAGTCTTTCGTAGCTATCTGCTTTTGGCCACTCAAAGACATAATGGGCTAGGTGAACCCTGGCTGAACAGCCATTTTTATGCTAAATACAGAGGGAAACTCATACATACCAGTTTTTTCTTGCTTTTGTAAATGTTTGGAGATTGTCTGGACTCTTGTATTAGAAATAAAATCAGTGTTTACAACTTCTCTAGTTCTCTGCAAAACAGAAATATATCTTAGCAAGACAAAAAGCAAAGCTTAACATGCACAGATTGTCCCATCATAAAACATAGTGGAGGAACTTGTTCAAATTTCCTAAAGTAAAGGGAGACAGAACATTCTGAACTTTTTATTCAGAAATTGCAAAAATAGAGAATTACTATCCTAGACATACAGGTGATGTGCATTGCCCACACTGGTACTGTACTGAAGTGCAGCAATACCCAGGTGATACTTCTAAGACATCTAGACAGCATGCTGGCACTACAGCTACAGCAACACAAGTCAAGGGAGGTGATTCTGCCCCTCTACTCCACTCTCATAAGACCCCACCTGGAGCACTGTGTCCAGTTCTGGGGCCCCCAACATAACAAGTCCAGAGGAGGCCACGAGGATGATCAGAGGGCTGGAGCACCTCTCCTGTGAGGACAGGCTGAGAGAGTTGGGGCTGTTCAGCCTGGAGAAGAGAAGGCTCTGGGGAGATCTGATAGCGACCTCCCAGTACCTGAAGGGGCTCCAGGAAGGCTGGGGAGGGACTTCTGACAAGGGCAGGGAGTGATAGAACAAGGGGAAATGGCTTTAAACTGGAAGAGGGTAGGTTTAGATATTAGGAAGAAATTCTTTCCTGTGAGGGTGGTGAGACACTGGCACAGGTTGCCCAGAGAAGCTGTGGATGCCCCCTCCCTGGAAGTGTTCAAGGCCAGGTTGGATGAGGCTTTGAGCAACCTGGTCTAGTGGAAGGTGTCCCTGCTCATGGCTGGGGGGTTGGAACTAGATCTTTAAGGTCCCTTCCAACCCATACTATTCTGTGATCTTAAGCTGGCTCATTTTAAATTTTATGATTTCAAGGAATATTAGTTTTAAGCAGTGTGAAGTAAAACATGAAAAAGGAAGAACCACAATACCACCTTCAACTCCCAATGCCAAGGAGAAAAATCTAACACACTCTTAATGTAAAACTTAGAAACCATCAAAATAAACCTTTTTCAAGAGCAGTAGCTTAGCTTTTTACCTCAGTAACATTGTGGCAAGATCTGCAATAAAATCTGCCTCCATCAGTGAGACCCCAGTTCACTTCTGAACACTGGGCACAGCGTTCATTAAAATCTCTCTAAAAGGGAAAAAAAAAAAAGTTTCATGTGTGCTTAAGTAAAACAATCGACAGTATTGCTAAGCTATTGCACAGCTTTTGAGATTATTCACAGAGAAGAACCTTTATGGTATGTGCTGTATATTAGCTCTGGTTGATAACGAGTAATTGTAGCATCGACTATCAGTCATAGATAACTGAACAAATAATTTTAGCTGGCAAGCATCAGTTCTTGAGCATGTGAACATTAGTACAAGGGGAACAGTAATCCACACCTGGCACACGGGACACGGTTTAAAAACAACACTCGTCAGAAATGGAAACGGATAAAAAGTAGAGAGCGAGAGAAGAAAGTAACATTAATTTCCACAACTGTGAAGAAACATGCAATGGAAGAAAGTCCGTACAGGTCGGTGCAGAGACGGGCCGGGGGCAGGGGAGACTTCCCGGAGAAACCGGAGGAGGAAGGAGAAAATAAGGAAAGAAACAGATTAAAACAAAGCGTTTTTCAGAAGCACCGCACGCCAGCGCGCTGGGGACGGCAGCTCCCTCCGGGGCGGGGGGCACGGCCGGCGGCACCGCCACGGCC